TTCTGAGTGAGCATCTTCTCTCTGGCCTCATCGTGTACAGAAGGGTTCCATGGAGAAAAGCTTGAAGGGCAGAAAATATTAAAAACAGTTCACGGCTTTCAAAACATGTACAGCATCCAATTGAGACAATGCTAATAAAACTTAAGAAGGAAGAATTTTTTTTTTAACGTTTCTCTGTGTGGCCCTAACTGTCCTGGAACTCGCTCTGTAGACCAGGCTGGCCTCAAACTCAAAGAGATCGCCTGCCTCTGACTCCTGAGTGCTGGGATTAAAGGCGTGCGCCACCACCGTCACCACCACTCCTCCTCAACCCCGCTAAAGAGCAATTTTTAATCAGTTGCTAGCATGTACACTGATATTACCTCAAAGTGTTATCTAAAAGTGTTTCATATCATAATTACCTCTTATAAATAGACTTATCCCTACAAACCTCATACCACCCCTGAAATATTAAAGATGAAGAAAACAAGGCAGAATAATCCAAAGCTAGAAAGTCCAGAAACCAAGCAGTCCATCAGCTGAGCCCACACACAGCACTGCACTATAGGGCCTCCATTCTATTCTAGCATGTTCTCTCCACCAAATCTAAATGGTAAGGAGTTGGGCTGGATGATGTAATTCAGTAATCCAAATTATTGTGGACCTTGAGATACATTTTTCTGAATATATTAGAGGTAAGTTATGTTTACTTCAACTAAGAGTAGAGAGTTGAGCAAGCACTATGGAATAGTTTGAAATTGGTGGTTTCAGCTGTATGTATGTTAGGCCATGAAGAAGGGTATAGAGAGTAACTCATTGTCCTCACATGAAAAAATGAAGGAGCACTTGACAGATTCTCAGGAAACCAAAGTCACTAAGTATTCCATTATTGGTAGTGTAGCCACACAAAACCTTTGGTTTAAGGTCAAGAGCCCAAGTGCCATTAGGAGTTGAGCTGACAGAAAGTGGAAAGCTCCAGGCCAACATTCCATATGTTTCTCTAAAGCAGAAGTGTAAAAGGCCAGGAGACATACTACTTACCTAATTGCGTAGGGGTCTTCTATTTTGGGCTGGTCAAACAAACGAGCAGTGCACACTTTAACACTGTCGACCACTTTACTTTTAAAAAGCTGAAT